ACCTACGACAATGACTTACAATTACCACTCAATCGGAAACAGTTCCTAGCATCTTTGTGCACGGACCCTCAGATGGTGGTCTGGCGAAACCGATAGTCATACATTCAACGTAGTTAAGGCCATGGCATATAAAAAAATTTAAGGCGTAAGACTTAAGCTGTAAACGAATCGACCAATCACAATAGAGACCGTAAGACCATACGTAAGCAATAGCGAATCCAGCATGTTGATTTCGTTACTGCTTAAAGCCCATGGTGTTATAGTTGAGTTTGTGAATAATCAACACGTTATTAATTATAGATTTCTTTAATTAAGTCGTACAGAAATATATCCGTCGTCTGAAAGTCTTTGTCTCGTGGTAGTCGTATGTATACATTACTACCAACCTCACCACTTGACCCTAGACTGGTTTAACATTTATGCCAACCCCTTAACATCCCCTTCATTTATTTAAACATTACAGCTTGACATAGAATGTAATTAAAACATAAAATAAAATACAAATAAAATAAAAAGAACAAACATTTAACATTTTGTTACAATAGCGTTCGCAACATTTCGCAGACTAACTTATTTCGAACCTCTCTTATACATTTTATGTTTTATAAGTGTGCCTTGCTCTCTCTCTCTTTTTTTTTTTTAAACATAGTCCTTTAAGTACTGTGGTTTCTTACTGACTCTACCACTTCTAGTAGTAACTCTCTGATCGCAATCTACATTAATTTGTTTGGTATTCTCTGTTCGTGGGTTTCTAATTTTAGAACTGTCATTTACCCTAACAAGTTCCATCTCCTGGTTCTCAGACAATCGTGACTTCTCAACCCTTGGATTTTCGTTAACTGACTCTCTATTTTCCTCCCTTTCTGTGTTGGCATTTCTTTCAACACACGTTTCTGTTGCTTTGTTTATGTAATCTTCTAGTAACTCTTCATATTGATTTTTTTCTATTTTTACATTTTTATTGGCTACGTAAGGTTTGAGAAATCGCTGATTTCTGTTTAAGATCACTCCACTATTATTAAGTTTGACATTATACGCTGTCGGCTTATCCTTATCTACGCTATATATAACGCCTGGTTCCCATTCTTTCTTATTATTTAATAGCATCACAGTTTGATTTGTTTTAAGTTCCGTCAAATCTTTCGCGCCTTTATCATAATGAATTTTCTGTTTCTTTTGACGTAATTTATTTTGATTAACAATTTTTTCTGATCCTTGGGACTCTTTTGCCATGAGTAATTGGCCTTTTAACTTTCTATTATATAGCAGTTCTGCTGGAGAAGGCATTTCTTTACTTAATGGGGTTGTTCTATACTCTAGAAGCGTCATTGACACATCTTTTCCATCATGTACTGCTTTTTTCAGGATCTTTTTGATAGTTTGAACTTGCCTTTCAATAAATCCATTTGACTGTGCATGCGTTGGTGAGGACGTTTTATGTTTAATTTCCCATTTTTGTAAGAATTTAGTGCATTCATAACTCGCCAATTGAGGTCCATTATCCGTATACACAATCTCAGGTATCCCATGTCTCGAGAAACATGGTTTTATTTCCCTAATGATCGCTTGGCTGGTTGTTCCGTTTCTTAGTACTATTACCTCAGGAAATTTTGAATATACATCGACTAGTAACAATTAATTCTCACCATTTAAATAGAATAAATCTGTCGCTACAACCTGCCAAGGACTATCCGGGATTTCTTTGTTAATCATTGTTTCTTTCTGACAATTTTTTGCATATTTTAGACAAGATTCACAGTTTTCGATCTTATTTTTGAGCTGACTCTGCATTAATGGCCAATAAACATATTCTTTAGCTTTCAACATTGTTTTTTCTAGCCCTAAATGTACGTAGTGAAGTCTATTTAGCATCTCTTGCCTTAAAGCTTTTGGGATGACTATTTGGTTTCCTTTTAAAATTAACCCGTTAATTTCTGTTAACTCATCTCTTATGCCCCAATATGGTTTAATTTGATCATTTAAGCTATTTTTCATTTTGGGCCAACCTTCTTTAATTACTTTCTTTAACTCTATCAATTCTGAATCTACATTTGTTTCTGTAATAATGATTTCTTTTCTCTTAAGACTAATTCCATCACTTAATTGTATTAGGTCAATTTGTGCTTGAATGTCATTTTCATTAATTACGCAATCTTTATCGTCATAATGTGCTCTTGAGAGAGCATCAGCAAAGTATAGGTGCTTTCCTGATTTGTAACGGACTTCAATGTCATAATTTTGTAATGTTATTCTGAGTCTTTGTAATCTTAACGGACATTTACTTATTGTTTAGTGGTTTTTTGAAAATTGTCTCCAATGGTTTATGATCTGTCTCCACTACAAATCTTTTCCCATACAAGTATTGATGAAACTTTTGACATCCAAAGGTAATCGCGAGCAATTCCTTTTCGATTTGGGCATAACCTTGCTGACAAGGACTCTGTCAAGGACTTTGACGCATATGCTATGGGTGCTTGACTCTGTAAGATCACTGCCCCCATGCCGTCCTTTGAACTGTCCACTGATAGTGTAATTTCCGCATTACTGTCAAAAAATTGTAAGACTGGACTTTTCATTAACACTGTTTTGAGATCACTAAATTCTTTCTCATGTTCATCCGTCCATAACCATTCTATGTTACGTTTCATTAACTGTCGCATGTTTTTTGTTCTCTGCGCTGAATTAGGAATAAATCGGCTTACATACGTTATCATACCCATAAATCTACTTAATTCCTTCGCATTCTTAGGTGTTCTTATCTGATTAATTGCTTCGACTCTGTTTGGATCAGGGCTTATACCTCTTTCTGAGAATTTGTGGCCTGTATATTTAACTTCAGTCTGATAGAATTTACATTTGTCTTTATTGAATTTTACCCCTACTTCTCTGGCTTTCTCTAGGACTTTTAATAACATTTTATCGTGTTCTTCTTGAGTTTTTGTGTGAATAATAATATCATCAATATAAATTGTGCACCCTGGAATTTTCTCGAATAGTTGTGAAAAGACTCTGTGAAAAATTTCCGGAGCATTTGAAATCCCGTAAGGTAACCTTAAAAATTTGTATCTCCCAAATGGAGTTGCAAACGTCGTTAACTTTGATGCAGCTTCTGTTAGTTCTATTTGCCAAAATCCTTTATTGGCATCTAGCACTGAAAAATATTTACTACCTGCCATTTCTCTTGTTAGTTCATCAAATGTTGGTAATTCATAATGCTCTCTCAGAATGTTATCGTTTAATGTTTGTGGATCCAAACAGATTCGAATTTTATCATTTGGTTTTTTAACCACTACAATAGGATTAACATATTCCGTGGGTTCCGTTATTCGCTCTGCAACACCATCATTACACATTCTATCTAATTCGTCCTTAAGCTTATTAATAATACGAAATGGTATTTTGCGGCATGGTACAATAACAGTCTCATAGTTTTGTTTTAGCTTAATATCTACTGGTTCTATTTTTATTCGTCCTATTCCTTTGAATATATCTTTAAACTCTTTTAGCGGATCCAACTTACTCTCATTAATTGTGTTTACTAACACCGCCAGATTTAAGGCTTTAATAGTTTTAATCCCTAGTACTATTTGAGCTACTGGTTTAGTCTTAATAACCAAAAATTGCAGACTGTGATTTTCTCCTCTATGTTTCACTTTTAGAATACATTTTCCTACAACATCAAGCATACTACCTGAATAATTGGTAGCTTTAATCATGCACTGTTCTAATGTATGTTTTAATCCTAGTTTCTTGAACAAATATTCTGGAATTACATTTGCTTGGGCTCCTGAATCTAATTTAAATGTGACAGTTTTATTTATTTCCGTTACATACATTTTAGTAAACCAGTCGTCCTTGCTGTTTCCTTCTCCCACATAACCTAGTATATATGTCTCTACTTTATTGCTAACCTCTAGTGACCCTACCATATACGATTCTGAGTCGCTATCGCTGTCTTGTTCGTTTACATTATTAACATTTATTTCATTTACTTTCGCATTTCTACATACCCTTGCATAGTGTCCTATTTTTTTACAATTTACACATGTTTGACCTACTGCTGGGCACGAATTATAATTATGCCGTTTTAATCCGCATCTTATGCATTCGTTGGCCGCTTGCTGCTTGACGTTGTCATCCCTCCTTCTTTGTTGTTGTCGTCTCTCTCCTTGTGCTCTGCCTTTTTGCCATCCGTTATTTCGTCCGCTCATTTGCCCGTTCTGATTATCGCCTGATGACCTTGGATTTCTGCCATTATTTTGTTTTGCCGATCCTTTGCCGCCTTTGTCATTTTTTCCTGGCCTTGACGTGCCAATTATACCAATTTCGGTTTTTTGTCCATCATATAGATTTTTTAAATGATTTTCTGTACACTCCGCAGCTCTACAAATTTTTATTGCTTTGTCTAGATCTAGTCCGTCTTCTCTTAATAACCTGTCTTTCACTTTCGCATTGTATATACCGCACACGATTCTGTCTTTGATTAAATCATCTTTCATGTTTCCAAAGTTGCAGGACGCCGCTATGTTTCTGAGATCTTGCAGAAAATCATTGAATGATTCGGTTGGTCCTTGAATCCTCATGTTCAACTTATGTCTCTCAACACTTTCGTTTGTTTTTGGTACAAAATACGTGTCAAGTTTTGCTATAATTGTGTCTTTTACCTTTAGTTCATCCTCTGACAATCCCAGCGTATCAATTACGTCGACTGCTTGTTCGCCGATACAATGCATTAATATAGCCGCTTTAATTTCTTCCGCTTTCTTGCTTGCACCAGTCGCGACCAGATATAACCCAAAACTCTTTTTAAATTTCTTCCAATTTAAGGCTTGGTCACCTCCCCAGTCCATCGGTTTCGGTTGCTTTAGAAATTCCATTATTATTCCGTTAATATTCAATGTTATAAAAGCGTAATTAGGTTAGATTGATGTTATAGCCACTCTTATTTATCATGTTCCTTCCTTGAACCACTCATTTTTCAGGCATCCTGCCTTCTACCGACTGCGCCATGTTATAGTTGAGTTTGTGAATAATCAACACGTTATTAATTATAGATTTCTTTAATTAAGTCGTACAGAAATATATCCGTCGTCTGAAAGTCTTTGTCTCGTGGTAGTCGTATGTATACATTACTACCAACCTCACCACTAGACCCTAGACTGGTTTGGCATTTATGCCAACCCCTTAACACATGGCACATAGAAAAACGTAAGTCCGTAAGACGTAATCAGTAAGGAAATCGTAACATTAGATTCGCTACTGGCCTTACGGTCTCTACTGTGATCAATTTGCTTACGTCTTACGCGTTACGGCCTTACGTTTTCTATGTGCCATGGGCTTTACAGCGTAGTGTTACAGCACCGCACCACGATAATTGGCTAAATTTGTAGGCGTGGAAAAGTGACGTTTTGATGACGAAATTTATATTGCATGCCATTTTGTTATTATTGTTTGTGAAAATGTGACTTGTCTCGTACTTCTCAAAGTCATAATTATCGATTACAACTAAAGTTATCTTGGAATTTTATATGTAAATACGTACGTTTTACTCGTTTCAACGTCTGCAAAACCCTTTGTTACTGCCCGAATATAGGTTCACTTTACGTGCCTTTTACAACCATTTACTGTCCTGGGAGGACAGGACATTTTTCATCAATTTTTAGTGTTTTAAAGCGATCTCCTCATTTTGTTTTATTAAATTGTGTTTATTTAAAAATGACGTGCAACATAATAGTGGAGAGAAATTACCGGAGATTTAAAAAAAAAGGGAACTGTTCCCAAGGAGCAATATTTTTGCGTGAATGGGTCGAAGGCAATGCAAAGGATTCCTGAGTTTTCCAGATCCCCCGTGGTCCGGAACATTGTTTTCTTTAACATTTAAAAAAAAATAGCGTTTTTTACGTTTTCTTCTTCAGTTTTTTGCGAATATCTCAGGTTCTGTTCGTCGCACAGAGAAAAAAAAATACCAAATTGTTCGTAATAAAATTGTCTATAAAAAAGTATTATACAGTGAAATTGGAAATCTTGCAACATAACCTCAAAAAATAAATAAAATCCACCAGATATGGTAAATTTTCGTTTTTATTTTTTTAAATTTTTTCTAATCCGGCAATTTAAATGATATTGCAGGAAAAGTTACTTCTAATGACCATAATTACGTGTAAAAAATTTAAATTGAAAATATTCATTAGGACGGCCGTAATACCCGTTTCAATTTCAAAATTGATCAGCTTGTAACTTTTGGGCATCATACGGGAGGTGACTTTTTTTTTAATTTGTAGATTTTTGTATGCTCTTTAAGATGGTTATAAACAATATTGTCAAAATCCAAAAAAACTATTTTTTAAATCGATTTCTTTGAAAAATTTGTATTTTTTCTCCTCTTTTCATATAAAAATTCTACTTTAAACAATAAATTTCTATTTTTTTTTAAACAAATTAACAAAATAATATACGCGGATTGTGGTTAACATATGCAGATCCCCAATTTTTGTTCATAATTATAGAAATAAACTTTTTATCTTCCTTCATTACCTTAATCACAAGGTTATTAGTTGAAGAATGTATAATACGATTGGAATGTTTGTATTGAAATACTATGACGCGTTACAGGCCTAATATTTTTAGCACCGGTAATAGTTTTCGACCGTTAGGCCCCGTCCCTGCCATTTCTAAATAGAATCCAGTCGTGCTCTAGCAGCAGATGAGCGTTGTGGTCTCTGGCTGTGTATATACGAACAGTTTATTTGGATAAGAAATATTGTATATAAAATTACTTATTTAAGAAGGTATGTTAAATTTATGTTTTAAAATAACTTTTAACTGACTGCCTTTTACGTTCGTAAATTGTCAATAAAAATATCAATTTTTATGTATTTATATACTTACAGCATATATAATCGTACAATTTTTTTGTTACAGATAATTATTTTTGCTTGCGCTACGCTACATTCCAAATATTTCCATAAAATAAAAAAATCGAAGATTGTCTTGGTAATTGATAATTTTATTAAATTTATATTCGTTTTCATTTTCAAGTATTTAGTGTGGAATTTAGTATATTTCGCTTCATTTTCATAATAGTGAATGTATACATACAAAAACAAACAACATATTGTTTACAATCATTACTTTATAGGTATCGGCTCATTTTCATGAACATACATAGAAGCGTTTCTAAACTCGTAGAATACGAATAAATTGCCGACGGATCACGGATGGGAGATGTCAGATAATGGTTTAATTCCAGTCGCTTTACCGAAAGGTGCGAAACCATTACCAGATAGCCTCTTAGAGTCAATAGCTTGCGGATGCAAATCTGGTTGTAAAACAAAGCAGTGCACGTGCAAGAAACATGGAATAAAATGCGCAGCTGCATGTAGGTATTGCGCCGGTCTAAACTGTGAAAATTCTACAGTTTGTCAAGACGAAGTCCAAGAGGAATATTTAGGAGACGACGATGGTGACGCCGATACATCTTCAGTGTGTGAAACAGACTCACAAATGTCAGAATTAAGCATCGACGATATTACATCTGAAAGCTCACATGCTGAATCAGACGGGCTCTACACCGACGTTGAAGATGGTTACAATTTTTATTCTTGCGATACAAGCGACTCCGATTTTTCCGACGAATTACGCGTAACAAAACGAAAACGTGTACACTAGTAATAATTTAAATAAATTTTTAATCGAAATGTTGTGTTTGTACTTAATTTGTGCCCAATCACAGATAGCCTATATAATTTGTGATTCCTAATGTAGGAAGTAAGATAAAAAGTTTATTTCTATAATTATGAACAAAAATTGGGGATCTGCATATGTTAACCACAATCCGCGTACATTATTTTGTTAATTTGTTTAAAAAAAATAGAAATTTATTGTTTAAAGTAGAATTTTTATATGAAAAGAGGAGAAAAAATACAAATTTTTCAAAAAAATCGATTTTAAAAATAGTTTTTTTGGATTTTGACAATATTGTTTATAACCATCTTAAAGAGCATAAAAAAAAACCTACAAATTAAAAAAAAAAGTCACCTCCCGTATGATGCCCAAAAGTTACAAGCTGATCAATTTTGAAATTGAAACGGGCATTACGGCCGTCCTAATGAATATTTTCAATTCAAATTTTTTACACGTAATTATGATCATTAGAAGTAACTTTTCCTGCAATATCATTTAAATTGCCGGATTAGAAAAAATTTAAAAAAATAAAAACGAAAATTTACCATGTCAAGTGGATTTTTTTTGAGGTTATGTTGCAAGATTTCAGATTTCATTGTCTAATACTTTTTTATAGACAATTTTATTATGAACAATTTGGTATTTTTTTTTCTCTACGACGAATAGAACCCGAGATATTCGCAAAAAACTGAAGAAAAAAACGTAAAAAACGCTTTTTTTTAAATGTTAAAAAAAACAATGTTCCGGGCGACGGGGGATCTGGAAAACTCAGGAATCCTTCATTCGCACTGCCTTCGACCCATTCACACAAAAAAATTGCTTCTTGGGAACAGTTCCTTTTTTTTTTTAAATCTCCGGTAATTTCTCTCCACTATAAATTAATGTGATAAATTACAAATTAATAAAAAACTAATAAGTTTTTATAGACTCCTTTAATTAAACCAATTAATAAAACCATAAAATATGTATTACAGGCAATAGGAGTCGACGCTGGTTATCAATTAGCGCAATTTTTCTTAATACTAAAAATATAAATCTTAACTTTAAACGTTTCCACTCATAGTCTGAGTCTTCATCAGCAATCTTTCCTCCTAGGGATCGATTCTGTATCTTGAAACGAGGTGAAAATTATAAAAGTGAGTGAATTTACTAGAATACTGATAATTTCATTGGTCAATATACTTAGAAAATTTGCTCACCTTTGTAATTTTCACCTTGATTGAAGATACAGAATCGACCCCCTGTGCTACGACTTACCTCACAACAGTAAACGGTTCAATTTTTGAGAGGAAAAACGTTGGAGATATCATTTTGTCATGCAATATTCCAATCGTTGCGCTAGGGGGAAAGATTGCTGATAAAGATTCAAACGCGTTCAAAGTTAAGGTTTATATTTTTAGTATTAACAAAAATTGCGCTGATTGATAACCAGTGTCGATTCCTATTGCCTGCAATACGTATTTTATGGTTTTATTAATTGTTATAAATTAATGTGTCATTCCTTGCTTCTGACGTCACGATGTCAACACGGCTGCTGCGATTAGTCAACGGAGTCTTAATATCTGCGACAAAGTACCCACACAACAAATGTATCAAAAATACATCTTAGAGATATCTTAAAGATATATTTGGGATATGTGATATCTTTAGGATATCTGTCTGATGTATTTCGGAAATTTTTGCTGTGTGGGTAGCATAATTAACGTTTTATAATAATATCTTAAATTAACTCATCCTTTTGATAAAATTTATGCAAGTATCCGAACTGTCAAGAATAATAGTATATATTTAACGCTTATTAAATTATTTATTTCAATTAGATTTGGCAGTTTATGTTGCAAATAAAACAGCGAGAGGTAAAATTTGGCTTGGGACATTTCTACTTTGGATATAATTTTATCTGCAGGGTATGTCCTATTTTAAATAAAAGTATAAAAGTATATAATAAACGTACATATACATACATAAATACATATATATACAGAGTGCAGCAGTAACTCTGTTCACTTAGAATATTTCCCCTATTTTTAGAGATATGTAATAATATATTTATTGAAGTTGTATAGCATCACGGGCAGGGGAGGGGGTATAATATACTAACAGTTTTTCTATGGATGGAGGCGCTTCGACAAGATCACCTCCATTTTTTTAAATGGAATGGAATGATATCTTTACACAATATGATCCCTCCAAT